ACTCATCGGAGGTTACTGAGTTCATTATCGGATATGATGAATATATGAAGTTCATATATTTTGAACTGCGGTTGTAGATACGTATGATGCACGATCCTCGCAGTAGAGAGCGCTATTTATGCAATAGCGAAAATCAGACCTGAAAAAAATCAGGCTTGTACTAGAGCGCTGCACTAGTATTGCAGAGGTCAGTGGTTCGAATCCCGTACAGGCCTGATTTTTTTAAGGTCTGATTTTCGCTATTGCATAAATAGCGCTCTCTACTGGGAGGATCGTGCATCATATGAGTTCATTATGTTGTTCATTCCATAATGATAAGCATGAAAAAATTGGGCTTGTTTGATTAGCTGAAAATGTGTGCATTTTTCAAGTAACACGAGTGCAAATTACAAGTAGCGTGCGTGCGCTTTCAAAATTTCGTCTGTCTTGATTTTCTGAGATGCTTTTTTCATGTAAATTATTAACAAGTGACAAAATAATTTCTCGTGTAATTTGGTGTCGGTAAGCACTTTTAAATTTACTCGTGCTTATAAGCACCAAATTGCACTAGAAATCATGTTATTACCTATACTGTTTCTTTCTCTTTTCGTCTTTCCAATCACTCATCTTTCTACTCACCCACCCACTTACCTCTTTTCTCATTCCCTCCTTCCTTACTTGCGTCTTTTTCTGCATTCCTTTCTATCCAGTTTAGTTTTTCCAAACCATCGAAATTTTCGTACACAGACCAACAAACTAGGTCTTGTTTTTTTTGGATCTCCCTATCAGCTCGCTCCAGGTCAAAAGTTTCCTTTGAATCTGCAAGGAGTTGACGAACTTGGACACAGTGTGTATACGATTGCTTTTGTGGCTGAAGAAAGCAGCTCCAATAACGCATCTAAACTGACTCTTAACGACGTTCTTTATGTGCTCTCGCCTAACAAATCAAGCACTGTACCGTTTTCGTTCCATGTGCCAGAGACAATTTACAACAAAACGTGTAACAGAGGTAAAAAGAATAAACGAAGGATTCAGTTTGTGGACATCTATTCTTCTTTACCTAATCGATATTCCTTTGAAGTGGAACTTCAAGTGTGTCCGCCTGGATTTAATTTCAGCAAGGAAACTAAAGCCTGCGAATGCAATAGGGAACTTTCTGGCATTTTGAGGTGAGAATAAAAAGTTACAAGCCCAGTATAAGGTCAGTAAGTTTTCAGTTGCTATGATGTCCTACCTTCGTTGATTGAATGAAGGTTTTCCTTCTGACCTACTCACCTTCTCCCTGACTGACTGACCGACCGACTGATCAACGACTGACGACTAACTGACCGACCGGCAAACTAACGAACTGATCGACCTTTCGATCAACAACTGACTGACCGAGTGACCGACCGACTGACCGAGTGACCGACCGACTGACCGAGTGACCGACCGGCTGACTGACTGACTCATCGCCTGACCAACTGACCGATTGAGAGTATATAACTTCAAAGCCGTGTATTCCATTGATTTTGTGTTTGTTTGTTTGTTAATTTTTTTTTTTCGTAAACTTCAGATGTGAGAATGGACATACTTACTTAAAGGAGGGTTACTGGGCGAATTTCACTGATGATGGTTTGTTGGTTACTTACTACTGTCCATACAAGTATTGTGACTGTAAAACTGACGGCAAATTACCTGGATGTTTATTTGATGCAGTCAACAGTACTGCTCAATGTGCAAAGAACCGGGAAGGCTGGCTATGTGGTAAATGCTCCGGAAATACTAGTGTGGGGTTGAGGTAAAGTTTTATCTGCAAATTTTCCCTTACGAGGGTACATTTCTAAACCAGAAACATCAGGGCTGTGGGACCTTACTTTTGCTCTTAGGTGACTCAGGAATCTTAGTTTTTTCATAAAAAGCATATGCTGGGCACCCTGGATTTCACAGTTTCAGAGCGCTGGGCTCCTTTTAATTTTTCTTAGAGCATAGGCTTGCTCATCATTAAGCCAGAAGTCAACGGCCAATGAAAACCACCCTAAGTCTCGCAAGGGGCCAGTGAGAACTCAGAGAGAGAGAGAGAGAGAGAGAGACGTAACTGGATTAAACGTGGAGGAAAGGCAAGCAACCTTGTCGCGATTGATTTCAGTTTTGCATCCGATTGGTTAAGAGGTTAACGCAATTTTTTTTTTTTAAACGAAGGGTAGAGCGTGCAAAGTAGAACCATCACAAATTCTGATTAATTTTGACATCCAAGTAAAAATTGATCTAAAGTTTCAACTTCTTACCCCTTGTAAGATCATATGTAACTCACTTTGATGTAAACTGAGCTCAGCAACATTATTGTTTAACCGTAAGTTGTTATTTTTCTAGATGGAGTGAGTGCGTCCATTGTCCCAATCCAGGATGGGTGTTGGGCGTGGTCATACCTCTCGTAATCGCTTTGTGTATTCTTATCATTTGGCTCAATCCCGGTATATCTAGTGAGTTAAGAGGACCTCTGTACTTCTTCCAAGTTCTCCCTTGCATATTCGACCCCACCAGCCAGTTTGGGAGTCATGTCTTCCTTTTAGCGGATTTATTCAACTTTGGAGGGCCGTTAGTCTATCTGACCAAGACATGTATAGTAAGAGAAATCAATAATCTGTATTCGATTGCCTTTGGCTACTTGGTTCCTTGTCTGGCTCTATTGATATTCCTGTTTGCCTATCTGTTGAGCGTTAACTATTGCCTCAAGTTTGAATTTCGCCAGCGTTCGATGCTCAAATCTTTTTGGCTACTTGTTGTTTTTATCTACAACTATTTGGTCGAGACTTCATTTCTAATCTTGTTTTGCCCAAAAGTTGGCGACAGTCACGTGTTTTTCTATGATGGAACAATGGAATGTTTCAGTGGTAACCACTTGCCAATGGCAATCCTCCCCATCTTCGTGCTTGTGTTTCTCGTGATCCCCCCACCGATCGTGGTGTTTCTTCTAACCAATGGTTACTGGAGGGTGGATCCACAATACCTGAATACACTGACAAGCGGCCTGCGCCCCGAGCGCCGTTGGTGGTGGTCAGTGGATTTATGTCGAAGAGTTCTCGTGGTTGGTACTTATGCGTTCGTTCCAAACTGGCAAACAAAGAAGGTACGACCGATGGGAAATGAACGTTATTTCAAGAGTTATTTTTAAAGAAAATGTCAAGTTCTTGACCTTTTTTCTCCCAAGGTCTCATTAGCCCAACCCAGCCCCTCTCCTTATTTTTGACCGTCACTCACCCCTCAGTACAAATTTGTTTCCCTCCGCAGCCTTCCGCTGCCATTAAAATCAAAGATGGCAGCCATTTTTCGAGAGGATAATACTGAGCATTCGCTCGTCCAAATTGCGCCTGCTCTGCAGGCTTTAATTCTCCTCCTTACTGTCTGCTTTTCAATTCTTCTAATGTTATTTCGGATAAATTTGGTATTGGATAACTAATTAATAATTCCTTAAGTGATGTAGTGATGTTTGTCTTTATTCTTATCACTTGTCGGCTTGTTATCACTCGTTATCAGTTGACTGTTGTTGGGTTAGGGGAGGGGTAAGTGTGTAGTTTCTCAGATACTAGCATTGATCCGTTTTTTTTTTTCCCTAGATTCTTGTGATTTTGATATGCGTCGTTATATTGGCTGTCCATAGTAACTGTCAACCTTACCTGAAACCTCGCGTTAACTTTACAGAGTCTGTATATTTATTGGTTCTAGCCACTCTGGCGATTATGCAAATTGTTGAAGATGATACGTTCAGGTACAAAGTGTCCTTAGTTTTAGTGTTCGCGGTAGCACTTCACGCACTTATGGTGGCTGTTTATAAAGCTGCGCGATTCTTCCGCAAGCGTTTCGATTGCGTTTGCGCGAGAAGGGGACTCGAATCAAATGAAAGACTTAGAGACTATGACCAGCTGGAGGACACAGAGATCGATCGGGACAGTTTGGCCGCAGAGAGAGAAAGACAGAAGAGCATTCTGGACACGATATTTAACTCATCTACTGAGGGCTCAGAACATGGTCAGTGGTAGACTTGAAAAACAATTACAAACTGTTAACAAGCTTTTTTTTCCACTCTCATTGCTGGTTAAACCTGCTCCTCCTCCCCCCCCTCCCCCCCCCGCGTCATGTATTTTGTCACGTAATACTCTGGCTCTGATACAGAGAGACCTTTTGACCGTTAAGTTGTTCACGTACTATCCGTTCAAATCCCTAATGTTTTTGTCCTAGCACGCTCTAGTGCAGTCGTTTGATAACAACAATTGGGAACTGGGTGACTTTGATAATGACGTCTTTACACCCTTCCATCAGAGTGCATATTCTCCATACTTTCCTCTATAACTTCCTTAAGAATTTGTTTAACCATCAAGAGCTTCTTGATTTGGTGATTATTTCCTTAATTTTCTCGAGCGTAGTGTATAATTCAGGGGTGGTACTATGAGGAGAAATTGGATATTAGCCACTCTTAGGGGTTAAAGGCTTAAATGGAATCATATCTTACCCATGGCTATGATTAGCAAACTAATAAAAAACCAAGAGGAAGGAAGCTTTTGACGACTTCATCTGTTACGTGGCCGAACGGTATTAGTGTTGA